TTTTCAGAAAAATTTGTCGAAGAATTTGTTTATGAGTCGATCAGTGACAGAAAACGAGCTGTTTTCACTCTCTCTCCTTCCTTCTTTTCCTCATTCTGTGAGTCTGCATTGTTATTATTATACACACAAACACACACACACATACACACACACAGGCCTATTATGGTTGTTGGTTCAGATTCCCAGTGAGGGTGACATCATGTAGCCTCAATCAAAACCAGACATCAGCAAAACCTCCAATGAGAGCAGCAGGACAACACACACAGACACAGACACATACACACACACACACACACACACACACACACACACACACACAAACACATGCACGCATATACACAAATACACACACATCTATCATTTAACAAACCTCCTTTACATCAGGACAGAGGAATTCTGGGATTGTTGCGTTGACTCTTCGCTGTAAAAAATGACTGAAGTTGAAAATGTAAAGACTGAAATCACTTTTTTTGACTGTGTTGATGTTTTCCCGCAATGCAACACAGAGGTGAAACAGCGATGTCCAGTGATTTTGCTGCTCTCTCTGCTGAGTGTTTAGAGTAACCCAATATTATAATTGGAAACATACAGTGGAGTCCAAAAAGTGTGAGACCATGGACTGTTGGATCCCTCTTCTGTTTGTGAAGTTTCCAGTTTGATTAACTTCCATCATACAACTGTCAAAATAATACACTGTCAAACATGGATGGAATTTAATTTTTTTAAAGCTCCATATAGTCTAAAGGTCTTTGTCCATGTGTTGTTTGATTATAAAGCAGGTCTAGGTTCTATATTAATACTGTGAAAGTATCAGAGCACTCAGTCCACAGAGAAAGGGACACAGCTTGTATTCAGAAGCTGAGCCTTAAAACCAGCCATCAGGACTTCTGGAACTTTGTGATGTCACAACAAAGCAGTCACTGCTTTCAGCCATACCCCAACCCCCGCCCAACTGAACCCACCATCCAAACCTTGCAGGATTTGGTTTCTCTGAGTGTTTACCTCAAATCTGTTATATTTTTATTGGATCACTCAGCCAATCAGAGGAGAGGATCAGAGCCTCCTCTCTTCTGATTGGCTCACCGACCTTTTGTTACTAGCGCTCCAGAGAGAAGCCTGAGAGAGGAGATGTAAAACTACATCGAGATGGTTTTTGGTTCTTAAAACCACAAATATATCTTGTTATGGATCAATACTTCAGATAAAACACAGGAGAAGAAGAAAATATAGAACTTTAGATCAAATCCATGTATCATCGTCATAAACCTGTTATTCAACGAAATTAACTTTGGCTTCAACTAAAGTTATAAGTAACTCAAACAGATGATTGGATAGTTATCTAAATGAGGACCTACATATTTTGTACCAACAATCAACCACGCTTTTCTTCAGCAAACTCTTCAAAAATCATCAGGAGGCCAAGGTTGTTCCAAATGCTTCAAAATAAAATCAAACATTTTCAGAAATTTTCTCTTTTCTTGGTTGCAATTCAGTTATTTCTCTTTATGTGTCTTGTTTGTACTGGAAGATTTTCACCCTGCTGACAGGTTAATTTTTCAAATGACTACTGTTAGGGAAACAGAAAATACTGAACTGTTAACAGTTTTTTTAAAGAAGAAAAATCTGCTGATGATTCTCTAATAAACGACTTTAGTGATGACTACAAGCAAACATGGGTCATGCGTGGTTTTGAAAGTGACCTCCAGATGAAAACAGAGGGATTAACCAATGAGAGAAGCAAGATGTGGTGGTGAGAGAGGAGGCTGGAGGTTTGTCCTCTGCTGAAGGTCAGAGAGAAAAAACTGACAGACAGCTGATAAACTTGATGACAGCCCTGCTCTCAGTGTGCGTGTGTGGTGGTGTGTGGACAGTGATGTTGATGATGTGTGGTATCATCTGCATGTGCTGTGTTGTGTGGTGTGTGTGTGTGTGTGTGTGTGTGTGTGTGTGTGTGTCTGTGTGTGTGTCTGTGTCTGTGTGTGCATGTGTGTGTCATGGCAGAGGATGAAAGCAGCAGTAAATTCTCTCTTTTACTTCAAAAGGATGTTTCACACTCCAGTTGGGCAGATGGAGGTAACACACACACACACACACAGCCTGGCTGACTCCTGGTGCACCTGGACCAATGATGGATGAATCACACACACAATCAAACAACCAAGTCAGCGAATTCTCTCAAAAAGTCTCAACTTTTTTTCATTCAAAACTCCCTTTAAAAAATGTTGTTTTTTACCTCAAAGAAGTTTGAACTTGTGCCTGACACATTCCTCAGGTATACTGATCCTGGTTTCCCATAATGCAACAGGAATAATAACATAGTCCCTGCAGAGATCACTGACATGTAGATGCAGTTCTTGTTGTAGTGGCAGGTTTGAGTACAGTGATCTCACCAGGTCCTGTTTCCAGACAGCCATCAATCTTAGCAGTTAATTTTTATTTTGTAAACAGGTCATTTTACTTTCCCTCTAACTGTGTTGCCAATAACTTTTGTGGTTTGTTGACAATCTCATTTGTCTCTGTCAAGTTAGACACAAAAACGGCTGGGTCACATGTATTTGGATCAGCAGCTTGGAAGTGACTGCTGGTTAACATGTAGTCTTAATGGACCACATTTCAGTCACTGTTTCTAACTTGTTCTGTTGTCGCGCTAACAGAAACAGAAGAACATGTCAATGACAACAGTTCTATTGTGAATTCAGCTAAATAGTACATCAGTAACAAAGTGTAAACATATTGTAAACATGTTTTATAACTTGCTTGCAAATGCTCATTGTGAAAAGTCAGTTTAAGAAAATACATTTTGATACTTGCAGAACGTTTACCACAGAGGTTGACAGACGTTACTTTCAAGTACAAATTAAACCTCAAATGAAGAACTGAGAGTTTCCTGAATTTCAGTCAGAATCATTTTTCTTAGACCTGCTGAATATTAACAGGTGACAATATAAACACCGTAAATAAAGAGAAAAGATAGGAAAGAAAAGAAAGTGGCATTTCTGTCAGGAGAGATGTAGATATCAGATGAGAAGAGGAAGAGGACAATGATGACAGACACTTTTACATCAGCAAATCAAATGTTAAATGTGATTTCTGAGTGAAAGGTGGGATGTTTTCATGGAAGAGGTTCCTAAAACCCAGAGTAAATGCAAAGCATGTCTCTCCATCAACAGAGAGTAGAGGTATGTGTGTGTGTTGTGTGTGTTGTGTGTGTTGTGTGTGTGTCTGTGTGTCTGTGTTTCTGTGTATATATATATATGTGTGTGTGGAGGCCAGCAGCAGGTGAACTGGCCCGAAGGCATTCACACCTGGCCAGTAAATCTAGGCGACAGCCAGCTCCTCCTGCACACACCACACACACACACACACACACACACACACACACACACACACACACACGCATGCACACATGCACGCACGCACACGCACACACACACACACACACACACACACACACACACACACACACACACACACACACACACACACAGCTGTACTGTGGCCTCTGCACCATGTTTCTGTTTGTTTCCTATGGTTACCACAGCTGCATCGTGATTGGCTGACGGGCTTTTAATGAGCACCAAGACCTTAAAATACACAGACATGGCCACAGTAACAAGGACGACCAATCAAACACAATGTGGTAACAACTTAAACTGTACATGTTACCACAGAGCTGAGGTCTGCTGGTGTGCAGAGTTCAACAGATCACCTCCTTCACATAATGTCCAACCAAAGTCACAGGCCTTACTGTGGACACCAAGGACAGCTGAGGCCTCCAGTCACAGATAGTTTATCAGAGGCTGTGAGTGGTCACAAAGCCGGTTTCAGAAAGACAGACTTTGACTGTATCTTCAATAGAACAAATAATTAGACTTCAGATAGACTGAGTCTGAATTCATCTGTTTCACAAGGCAATTTATTTCTTAGTTCTTAAGCTGGACTGGGGTACAATGAAAATGAACAGAAAAATGTTTGTCTAGTGGAAGAATTCAACAGTTACAAGTATGTTTTACTTTGGAAATTCAGTGAAGAGTGAAACAATAAAATTAAAAATCTGATTTAGAAAAAAATGGCTGTGGTCTTTCAGCCTCTCGCCTATTTTTCACAAGTGACTCGCGTATGTCCCAGCAAAAATAGACACCTGACAGAGACCTGTAGTGAAATCATACCAACGACATTACATAAAACTGACTCCTTCCACTATAGCTGTCAATGTCTCGACTGAATCTGAATATGATACAGACATGAAAAAATATAAATGTACTGTATATTTCAACCATTTCAGCAGCTGCATGTGGAGACAGTGACATTTTGGTGAAGTTTTTCTGTCAAAAATAAATCAGAAATAAATTTTTAATAGAGAGAAATTTATTCCAGTAACTTGAGATGAAGCTGGTGTGAACACACACATGAAGAGCTTAACACAAATAATGAAACTCTTTAGACCCTTTTCCTCTGGTCAAAAAACCCACTAAGACCCACTTACATCAGGTTTCTGTTGGCAATGGAAAAGGGCACAATCTGTATTCACACCCGGGTCAAATGACCCTGCAGTAGAGACGGTTATTTATTGGCATTGATGTAAACACACCTGTCACCTGTCCAGCACAGTGCTATTACACCAGAAACACCGTGGCTACACTTTGCTCGGGCCGGCAACAGTTAGCTGCAGCCCTGAAATAAGTTTTAAAAAAACACACAATCACCAATCGAAGCATCTCACACAGAGGCTCAGTTTGATGTAGGAATCTAGGAAATTATCAGGAGATGTAATGTAAAGTGGTTTCGTATCATTGTCAAACATGAAGGTCTACATGCTGTTTCAAAGCTCGTAAAGATCTAAGGGAGAAACTGAATCCTTGTTAAAAATACTGCATCTAAAAATTGTGGGATCGACCAAAAGAAAATGTTAGTTGTCAAATGATTGAAAATTTTCAAAATCTCAAACAGAGCACTGAAGACATGACGTCCTGCAGCAGATCAGTGGTTCTGGGTCTTACCTCCACGATGTTCTTGAGATCTCTGACATAGGCTTGTTCAGTCTCTACGATCTCCATCACCACTCTCTCCAGCCGTGAAAGCTGCCTGGGCCTAGCCACCGTCGCCACAGCCATCGCATTGGCTACATGTCCATCAGCAGGGTGTCCTCCTCCTGTCACCCTGGCAACACAAACACCACCTCCTCCTCCCAGAGGAACCCCTCCTCCTCCATGTGGTGTGACGAGGGGAGTGAGGTCAAGGCTGATGTCTGAGCCATTCCTCTTTGGCGTGGAGGACGATGAGGATGACGAGGAGGCATTGTAGGTCGGCACTGCGCCATACGGCAGAGAAGAAGAGGAGGAGGAGGAAGAAGAGGAGTGGGAGGCGTCCTGCAGGGAGACTGAGGAGGCAGAGGAGGAGAGAGAGAGGGAGGTGGGGCGTTCGCCATCTGAGCATACGGTGTTGACAGAGGTGCAGGAGGAGGACGAGGCTCCTCGTTCACCAGATGACATCATCCTACTCACAATCCCACTCAGAGACGAGACTGAGGAGGGACGCTTGGCGGCTGGAGAGAGACAGACACAAAGACAATTTAGTCCATCAGCTGATTTTATCCAGTGAAAACCTCAAGAATGGACCAGTTAAGGTTGTTAAACTAATGAATCAGACAACATCAGCGCCATGGTCCAGTCTAATCTACTCAAACAGTGTGATCAGTACATATAGAGTTATCTGTTAAAAAAGATCAAACCATTGTCCCAGTAAAGAAAAGAAACATCAAACTAGACAAACAATCCAGACAAAATGTGCATCATCACTTCAGCTATTTAGACCATTGACGAGGCAGAGGTGGACGACACCTACAGTAACTGTTACAGGTTTTTGTTTGTATCCATGTGGCAATGTTCATGTTCATGAAGTACATTCCTGCTAATGTTGTGCTCATAGACTGTAAATAAAGATGGACGTAGCCTCTGTGACATCACCCACAGGTTTCTGAAGAGTGGTTTTGAATCTCTGAGTGAGCTGTTCCACCAATGACATCTTGGCAGTGTCTGACTAATCCAAAAATGGTCAAAGAGGCGGGGCGTGTGTGGAGTTGAGAATTCTGTGCATGGGGTTTTGTGGCAAGCATGCACTCACCCTACTGTCACTCAAAGAGGCCACGCCCTCAATTATACATAATTTTAAGTCTTAATAAAATGTAAACAGGTGAGTTTTATGAACAGTTGTCATGAAGGAAGAAATTAACTTTAGAGACCTAAACTGTTTTTGTACCAGGCTGTAAATGTGATGTGATGTTCATCTCTGCTGTAAAGTTGGACATTTTAACATGGGAGTCTATGGGGATTGACTCACTGTTGGAGCCAGATTCTAGTGGTCATTAGAGGAACTGCAGGTTTTAGCTCTTCTATGTTGGCTTAATTTTTGCCGCTTGGTTTTGTTCCACCCGAAATTAAGTCTTGTTCATTTGTGTGGAAATGTTTTGGGGTGCAAAGACGGTGATCACACAGAAGTGTGCAAGAAGAGTTCTGCAAGATTAATTGCAACAAACCATCTGAAATGTCAAAATAAAAATGAAGAAGTAACTAAGGGCCAGAAGCCATCCACAAACACACAAACGTCTGTCTGTTACCTCCATGAAAATTATGCTAATTTAGACACTGCACATCATACAGATACAGCACATGTTCACTAATGTACATTCACCCATCTCTCCTCTTTCATTAAAACATTTTTACACATCTGATGATTTTCTTAACACCAAGAATATTCTTGTTTTGGTCACACACACATTGGCACACATTTGCTTTGGTATGAATCATCATATTAGACTAAACAGTTTATAATGTTTAGTTAAGATTCTGAAAAGTCTATCAACATGTGTGTGGTATGGATCACAAACACACACACACACACACACACACACACACACACACACACACACACAGAAAAACATTTGTTTTAAGGTAAAACAGACAACAGACTCAGCCATATCCTTTTTTTCTCGCGCAAAACTGACGTGAGTCACATTGTACGATGATGTGGAAACAACATGGAGCTTGTTAAACAGAGAGCTGTGAAACAAACTATGACAGGAAACTGTGAGTCTTTTCATCCAGGACCATGAAGCCCTCGCGTCAATGCAGAAACATAAACTGTACATGAGAACAAAAAAAACAACAACTAATCATCCGCTTTTATCTTGGCTTACATGCTAACCGAGAGAGGAATAAATCAACTGATTGATAAATCAGTCCTAATCCAGCAGATTTTCCCTCTGAGCATCTGATACAGTCTGATAGTCGTGTCTCAAACTTTATGTGCAAATATTTACAGATTAAAATGCAGCGTGTTTTTTGACTTACACAGCTGGCTGTTATACACACACATACACACACGCACGCCCGCACGCATACAGACACATGCATGCACACGCACGCACGCACGCACGCGTTTCTCCAAATGGAAGTAAACCATCCAGGCACCCGCACTGTTAAACTGCTTCCCAAAACCTGCTGGTTGACAATACAAATTCTCTCTCTCTCTGTGTCAGTCTGTGCGTGTGTGTGTTTGTCCTGCCTCATATTGCAGACATTCCACTCTCCTAATGCAGCTGCCTACCTGCCAATCACACTGTCTCCCAGGTAACCCTGCTTAGCGGTCAGAAAGAAATCAATCATTTTGTGAACATTAAATGAAGAAAGTACAAAACTGGAGTGTAAAGTTGTCATCTGTCAGAGTAAACAGGAAGTGTGTCTGCTGCAGAGCAGAGCATCACATCACCACTGACTGACACAATGTTGATTCTTCCCTTTTTCTTCTTCTGTTTTTGTGCAAATGATATGTAAAATGAAGAGAGTACATTGTGAAAGACAATAATAGGATTGTAAATCATCAATCAAGGTATTTTTCATTTTCCACATGAGCTCTGATGAATTTCACTTGTTATGTTTTGTCTTTAAAACTCTGAAACACAACAGGCCAACAAGTTAAATCATCAATCATCACTTTGCTTTCTCTTCAGTGAGTTTTAGACAAAGCTGTATAGCAGCTCTCCCTCCTAAAGTTATAGTTCACCATTTACCCTGATTTTCTTTCTCTCGGCGAGTGAGGTGAGAAGATCAAAATCAATCTCCTGTGTGTGTTTTCAGTACACAGCTGGAGTTAGAATGTGGCTAGCCTAGCTTAGCATAAAGACTGGAAGCAGGGGGAAACAGCTAGCCTGGTTCTGTCCATAGACCTACCAACACCTGTAAGAGCCCAAACATATACTCATATACGTTACTTAAGATTTCCTCCAGATGTTGAAAACATATAATTACATTGAGTTGAAGATTAACTGAGATCCAGTTTCTATCTACATTACATCTACACATGAAAAGATTTAAAAGCTTTTTCTCAGATGCAGACATGATCTTTACTCCTCCCAACTGTAACAGCATCTGAACTGACTTCTACAGGGTTACTCCAGATGTGATATGAACAGCTGCACTGACACTGACTTTAAAGTGACAGAGCAAAAGCAACAAACAATAACACAGACTACAATTACCTCCTCGTGGTTGTCTGCCTCCTCCACTCAGACTAGTTTCATGGTACATCCCTGTTTATCCACTCATAGAATATGAACCATTTGTGTGAAATTCTGTAATAAATGCTGTGTGAAATCACTGACCTTGACCATTGACATTTGACCACCAAAATTTAATCAGTTCTTCCTTGAGTCAAAGTGAACTTTTTACCAAATTTGAAGACATTCCCTCAAGGCTTTACTGAGATATTGTGTTCACAAGGCCAAAACTGTGTTTTGTGAGGTCACCGTGATATTGACTTTTGACTACCAAAATCTAATCTGTTCATCTTTGAATCCTAGTGAATGTTTGTGCCAAATATGAAGAAGTTCCATCATGGCGTTACTGAGCTGTCTTGTCCACGAGAATGGGAGGGACAGACGTGAGGGGCTGGCACTATATCTTGACAAATAACACCCGATCCATTTGTGTGGTAACTTTGGGTTGTGGACTCTGGACTAGAGGGATGGTACCAGACCGATCCACCTCACTGACTGCACTCAGGTCTTTAAAGACCACAAGGACAGTTTCAGTTCTCTCATTGTTCTCTAATAAAACACCTTGACACATATTTAACAATTTATCTTTTGCTTTCGTCATCACTTCATGAGAGCCTGTAATCATTTCCAGTTTCCACCCAGACAACAACACACCTCTCCTTCTCCTGAGATGGAGAAGTATTTAAAGTTTAGTGTTTGAATTCCAGACGTCCTGGCAGGAGGAATTTCCTACATACACCTATAAGACCCTCCATCTTTTCCATTTAAGTGACTTTTTAGTACTTGGACAGCTTTATAACAGAACTGCAGGTTCTTACAGGAACAGCTGGAACAGCTGCCAACAGTATTGTAAAGTAGTTAACCTCCTCATACATGTGGTATGTCCACATTGTGAACGCAGTGTGGACGTGTGGTTTCAAAAGTTTTTGTACTGAAGAGGTGATGTTTCATTTGGAAAACAACCAACATATTTTCTGAGAAGGTTTTTGGCTCTTTGTAAACTTCACTGAAAGATTAAACCCAACAACCCTCAACTGTTGAAACCTGTCGTCACATGTTCACATAAACATAAGTCATGATGCTCCATTCATCTATCAGCTGAAACAGGAGCCGGCTCAAATTAAGTTAGCATATCTAAAGAACACCTTGAAGAAACTTCTTCAAATTTGGCACAAACACTCACTTGCATCTCAAGGATGATTTGATTAGATTTTGGTGGTCAAAGGTCAAAGGTCAACCTAGGTCAACCTGACCTAACAACATGATTTTGGCCTTTTGAACGCAATATCTCAAGAACTCCTCAAGGGAATCCCTTCAGATTTGGCACAAATGTTAACTTGGAGTCAAGGACAAAGTGATTCGATTTTTGTGGTCAAAGGTCAAGGTCATGGTGACCTCACAAAACACAGTTTTGGCCTTGGGAATGCTATATCTCCATAACACCTTGAAGGAATTTCTTTAAATTAAACATTCACTGGGACTCAAGGATGAACTGATTAGATTTTGGTGGTCAAAGGTTAAAGGTCAATATCACAGTGACTTCACAAAACACTTTTTAGCCAGTACTCAAGACTTCACAGCAATTAAGACAGAATTTCACAAAAATGGTTTATATTTTATATGACTCTGGATGAACAGGGATGTAACCTGAAACTACTGAGTGGTGGAGTTGGACAACCACCAGGAGGTGATTTTAGTTTTATCAATTAGGAGACTTTCATTCTTTTTTTGAATAAAACTCACAGATGAAACTTGACTGCAAATATGAAAGCATCCAAAAACAGGAAACATTTGACTTAATAACAATATAGCATACATATTGGACAAATTATTGTACATTACTGTTTATTTATTATTAACTGTTTTATTATTATTATTATTATTATTATTATTATTATTATTAACAATGAGCTAATGGACACATGAATTTCCCCTAGGGGATAAATAAAGTATCCAACTATCTGTCTATCTATATCAAGATATTAGTAACA